CAGCAAACTGTACATTCTACCAGACCAGTTGACATGTAAACTTACTGTATTAAAAGGAATGGGTACACTGAATACAACCATCAAATGTAGCGGGTTCAACGATGGCGCATTGTGTACATGCTATTAAACAACTGATTGTTACCTGAGCAGTTAGGTTTATTCATAAACAAACTGAAGATCTTTCAGTATAAAGTTTGGTCCACCATCACCAAGAAAAAATACATGGCAATGAGCATGGCCATGTATAGATTTATGTACCTCGTGTATCAACATAGTGTAAGATCCTTCGAGCTATTACTGAATAAACCAAACTGCTTGCAATTCTTGTTTTTAGCATCAGCAAAGCCACTAACTGTCATCAAACTCAAAATCTGACTAGCCACATGTGTATTCAAACACTCACTATTGACAACCATGCAAATAACCGTAGATTGCACACAGACAAAGAATGCCACCAATTGTGGTTTGTAGCTGAATACCACCTGAAAACTGAGATGTACTATATTCAGAGGTACTTTACAAACTGACTCATGCAGTGTGATTAACAGTGTCCCACACCTGTGTTCTTGCTTCTCCTGTATCTTTCTCCCCTGGTACAGTATCTGATGGTGCAGGAACTTCATCCAAGTAAGAAGTGTCTTCATCAAGAGCAAGGTCATCTCCAAGGGCTTCCAATTCTGTTAATTTAAAAATTTGAAATATGTGGTTCAGGGCACAAACACCAACAAATGTAAATAAAAATCTGTTTTTTTATAGCAACAGGAATCTAGAGTTGATACTTCAACTGTTTTTCTATCCCTCTACAACTGTACCTCACCACTGCTCTTCAACAATGAAAATGGCATGTCAATGTAAATACAATTATAGTTAATCAACTGTGCCGTTTTATTTGCTGTTACATGTAGCTTAATTTAAGAGTTCTTCAAAATAATCTCTTCATTTAAAGTAGACTTCTTTGGCAATCTAGGACAATCAAAATGAGGACCATGCAGTGTTAAACAACTAGCAAAGGTTATGCAACACACATCATGCACCTCGAAGGAAATAAGGTTTTCTAAACAATCAGAGTTTCTTTACATGTACAGTATGCCACTTTTGACTTACATGAGTAGAATTTCACCAGACGTGTCACAGGATCTAATGTATCCAGCTGGATCACATACAGTGATTTGCATAAAAAACAGACTGACATGCTGCAATTGTATGGTGAATTTAAATGGAAAGGTGGAATAGGACTCCTCTGCTCTGATTTCAGATGCGGTAATCTGAAGGTTGTGTTTTCAATACTGGTGAGGGAAGGTTTTCCTTTCTTCATAGCTACTAATGGATGATTTGCAGTTGTATAGAATTTATTAGGCATTGGAAAATAAAAATGTTCAAGCCATTATAGTAATGTAATTATATATTAAGAAGAGGAGACACTATTGAGATTTGAAATAATTTGCAGAAGAAAGAAACTTTTAAGGTGTGAACCCATCGCACATGAGGTTAAAAACTGTCAAAGCTATTTATGGATCTAATCATACTCCCATCTCTGTTGTGTACCATTTAAAAGTCTTCACTGTGGAAGCACTTGTTTGACTCAGCAGAACTGGCCAGCACAATTACTACTTTACCGATGATAGACCGACTGCTCATTTGCACAACCTGATCACTACAAAAATCTCCCTCTAGCTATGCTATCATTCTTTAAAAATAATTATTGATTACACTCTGGAGACAAAAAAAACTCAATAATTTACTAGAGCTGTAATAGACCATATTCATATTCTCAGTGTTGGACTGGAACTAGCTTGGTGGCTGATGCCAGAGAATATCATTAAAAAGAGATAAATTTTATTTACATTTGAAAAGACTCCCTGCATTAGCCTCAGTTGCAAGCTAGTTCCAGTCCAATACCGAGATTACAAAAATGGTCTATTGGTGCCTCCCACAAAAACACATGGGCTAACATCACTAATCAAGCCAGCTGTAATGGGACACACTTATTAATAGCGATTAACCTGCTTCAAGGTCAGCCTCATCGATGTCCTCAGGCATTCCGTATGATCTGCCCAATGTGTCTTGGACTTCGTTAGCAATCTCTAGCATATCTGCCATATCATCTTGAAGGTCCTAATAACAGAGAGGCGAGTAATGGGTATATATCATAGTTACAGTTAGTTACAGTTGTAATATTTCAAAAAGGAACATGTTAACATGTAATAATACAGTTGCAGAGTATTACATCTAACAGGCCACGTTCGATATATCAATATTCTAACATGGCTCCAAGGCTTTTAGGACAAACTTCTATATTTGGTGTTGTTTTCTTTGTATCCAAGTCTCCTTTGGGAATTGAAAGACAAAGGAAACTTAAAAAAATTACAATCTTGACCCCATATTGATATATCAAACAAACATGGCCTATTCAGAGTACAGAATTCAGAGTATATAACAGAATTCTTAGTGACTAAAAGGGGAGTGCAGCTGTCCTGTACCATGGTGCAAAAGATTGTATCTTGACCTGAGCTTGCAATGTCCGGATTTCAAATTCTGCACCCTAACCACTTGGCTATGCTGCCTCCTTATTAACATATTAATATTTTACTGTATGCAATATTTAATTCCTAATTGCACTTGAATCATATGATTACCTCCTTTTTGATAATATTCCCTTAGACAAAATCCATGTCAAACATTTCTTGTCTGAATCAAATTTCTACTTACTCAACTGTACCAAAGACAATCAGATAGGACCTTCCCTGGGGGAAACCCCATGTGAGAAGGTTGGAGAAGCTCATTGGGAGATTTGAATGGACATGGCTCAAGCTTTATTTGGTCCCTAAAAGATATCACTTACAGACAGTGTTTTTTTAATATTTACTTCTTCAAGTGCAACCCTAAAAAATATCTTCAATTGATGGCTGAAAATAGTGGCATTTCATCCTCAACATCCTAAGTTTGACCAAAATCAAATTGATATAATAATAACATGTGATTTACAACCCTAAGCGGGATGACAAGCATTCCTGCCGTTTTAAAGTGGCGTTCCCCACTTGGGAGGTTTTTGCACAATCTTATTCCAATTCAGTTAGTTATGTGGTGAGGTATGTCAAGTGGGCTATATATTGTTTGTATACCAATGCTTCAGCCAGAAAATTTTACTTGAGGGCCAAAGTGGCCCCTGACGACCTTTTTTAGGGGCCAGTGTTTTAGGAAAGAGGTCAATAAACTGAAAGCTACAGAGAGAAAAAATGCATCAGGGTACCAAGGAAAAAAAAGCAGTTTACTAGGATGTATGATAAAATTTAATAGTAACTGTTTATTGAAGTGTTTCTACTCAATAAAATTTCCTTTGAATCAGATACCAGTATGAAGGATCTGTGCATTATGAGAGAACAATCCATAGGCATACATGACGTAGTCAACGATCTAGGGTTTGCATGCATTATAGGGTGATTTCAAAGACGGTGAGCAATTTGGAAGTTTTCCGATGTGAGACAATCAATACAGCAAAGTAAAAGGATGAATAGACTTCTTTTCTTATGTTGAACATTTTTGAAGCAAAGATCTTTCAATATGATTTTCTAGAAGGACATACATGTAATGTGTGAGAAAACAACTGTTATTGATCGTCAATACAGAGAGATGTAGTCACTATTATGGCGACTAAACCACAACTTTTGGTCGCCAAGGATGAAATGTTAGTTGCACTGGCAACCGTATTGGTAATTTCGATCCCTGGGATGGCTTTTAAAATACTATGCCTGTGTTAAGCCTGCAGTCTTGTAAAAGGAGAGGGCCAAATTGGCCCTTTTTCATTTTTCTGGGGGCCAACTCTGATTGTGTTGTTCCAGGAAATATCCATACCCCTCCCATGGAAGGTTTTGTAGTTTCACCC